CCTTTCTCTTTCTTCCTTCCTTTCTCTTTCTTCCTTCCTTTCTCTTTCTTCCTTCCTTTCTCTTCCTTTCTTCTTTCTTTCTTCTTTCTTTCTTTCTTTCTTTCTTTCTTTCTTTCTTTCCTTACTTACTTGTTTACTTTTCACTTATACACATAATAGATCATAAATAATTTAAACAGTCATGATAAATGTCTCCTTTCTTTCAGCCCTTAGCCTGAGGTAACCCCGTTACCTATTCAATATTTGTCCTTCGGACCTTTTCTAGTCATACTTTACGTCTGTAGCTGTAGAAATAATGACCTGTTGCTTTTAGCGTGTGTGTTTTAGCCTACGTAGTAGCGTATCGGAAGTGAGCTTTGCTCAGTGACTTGCTTTCGTTCACTGAGCGATGTCTCCAACACCTTTGCACTTCAGGGTGTAGAGCTCCACCTGGTCCTTTTAAACGTCTCCATCAGAGTCCAAAAGGTGAACGAGATCTAGTCTAAGCAACCGTCTCCCTTTGGAAGAATATTTATCTCTCATCTTTTCCTCATCAAAATTGTTCTGCAATGAACTCTCTGTGCACATGTGGGGATATCTTCCTGGAGAACTTGATAATGAGAAATGGGATGGTGGGAGTGCGGGATGGGCACCTTTAAAACGGGCACGGGCTGATCGGCTTCCCACCAGCCCAGGCTGGCTTCTCTTTTCATGGCTCTTGAATATCCCTTTCAGGATGGAAGATAAGCAGGTCGGAGGGACTAAGAGGCTGCCTGTGAGGTCTCCCAATCCAGGGTCATTGTCACCCTCCAGGCAGGCAGTGTCCAGGGTATACAGAAGCCCCAAATTGATCATCCTGACTGAGGATTGTTCATCCTGAGAACATTCTGGACTGTGTCAAACTCATCAGGGAATCAAGAGAGGGTAAATTTCAGCTCCCTGGGAACCTCAAGGCCACCTTCACAGGTGAAATTGGATGACTGTTCAGTGTTATAGTCTCTCCTTCAAGATTCAAGAGACTTGGCACTCAGCCTCTCCATTCCAGAGCCTGTGGAGTTGTGAGAGACCTAGGTTTATGCCACAGTCCTGCCCTGAGCTGTGTGATCTTGGGAAAGTCACTCACCCACTCTGATTCTCAGGTTCCTCATACTTAGTAAAATAAAAAAAAGCGCATATACTATTCACATCCTATCAGCATGGTGGTGTGAGAGTGATTTGTTAACTGCTAAGAAATATGATAAAGCAGTGATGATGTTGGATATAATGCCCAGGGTAACCTCGCCAGGAGAGCAGGAGAGCCCTGTCTCTTTCCCTGCCCCCCTTCCCTCCTCCTCTTCCTTTAGGCATGTGCCTAAAGTTGCCCAGGATTTTGGATTTCAAATCCTGCCCTGATCTGGATAGGGCACAGATAGCATCCTTGCGCTGAGCAACAGAGGAACACTGACCAGGATGAAGGAGGGGGTGGACAGTTACACAAGGGGTACCTACATACGCCTCTATATAGGACAGTAAGAAAAGAGGATTGGCCGAGAGTCAAGAGATCATGGTCCCAGACTTGGGACTGAGGCTGCAGGACCTCGGGGAGGTCACTCAGCTTATCTGGGCCTTGGTGTCCCCAGCTCTGTAAAAAAAAGGCTAAGCACTGGGGCAGAGGAGTATTCTGCAGGGATGTGTCCTGAGCAGAAAACACACAGCACCTCTGCGCTCATGTTTCTCATGTTCAGTACAAAGTGCCTAAGGACATCTTCCTTGCTAACATTACTGGCTCTTACGAACCCGTGTGTGTGCAAGCATTTTGAAACTCCGTAAGTTGTACTAACACTATATAGACCAATACAACTCCCTACAGTGATTAAATGCTATCTCGTCCGTTATTTAATACATTTGTTAGGACATGCATGCATTGCTACATATTGCTACGTGTACCTGCTGTATAATAACATATAAAACTATATATTACATAATACATACTACATAATACATATTGCTATATATAATTATATACATACATATATATATGGATGAAATTCCAGTATATACCAATTCATATTCAGTGGCTCCCTAGCTTACTCAGAGGAAATGACAGCATTCTGAAGGCCCTCTAAAGTCTGCTGTATCAGCACATGCCACCCCATCACTTCCCTCAAGCGTCTCCTCCTCTTCTCTTTATCCTGCTCCAGCCACATGGACCTTGCATGCTTCACCCGCACCAGGTTTGCTGTCACCCTGGACCTTCCCTGGTTAGCCTGGTGCTCGCCCCCTCGCCTCCAAGTCTTGACTCCAATCACTTCTCAGTGAGCCCTTCTCCAGCCCTCCTGTGGCAACCCTCTCCCCACTTGTCATCCTTGTTACTCTGCTGTATTTGTCTCCACCATCTGACATATTACGTGTGTCACTTATTTATTTGTTTATCACCTGCCCCCGCCCCCCCCAGGAGCAGGTAAGTGGCACGAGGGCGGGGCGTTCCCGCTGGTTGCGCACTTCTGTGTCCTCCGTGCCCAGAGCAGTGCCTGGCATACAGGAGGAGCTCAGTAAACATTTGCGATTGCGTGAGTATTTGATGGGGCGATGTCAGCAACAGGATAACAAATGCCCTCATTGTGATGGTGTGGTGCTGGGCAGTGGGCACACAGCAGCTAACAGCATGAACACTGGACAGAAGTCTCAGCGTTCATGCCCCCCATTGGTTCCTGATGGGTGAGGGTGGAAGCAGAAACTCAGAAGTCCTTCAGTTTCCCCCTGGGGAATGTTGCCTGCCTCTCTCTCTTCTTTGTTCCGGGCAGCTGATGATCCTCCGAGGAGAATCTGGGTGGGATCAGTTCTTGCCCAGGGTCAGTGGGAAGTGTAGAGGGAGTCACCTTCCTTTCCTCCAGATCCCAAGAAAGTGAGAGACAGCCAGACCGCCTTCCTCCTCTTTGGCATTCAGTTCTGCCATCAAGGGCTCCAAATCTCTGGGCAAAGGTCATAGCACCTGCGGCCCAAGGGACATGTGACCATGTGAGCACTGCTGAGTTGCAACAAGCCACACAATTAGGTCATTGTGCTAAACATGCAGATCCCCCTGCCAAGCCACCTCCCCCTCATTCCATCATGGCCAGAACTTTTGGGGGCCCTGATTTACAGAGGTCCAAACCTGGGAGGGTGTTGTCCAGTGGTCTGGGGGCGGGGGGGTCCTCTTCTGTGAGACCCACTTACTCTGGCCTGCTCTGAGATCCGGGGAGGAGGAGATGGGAGAAGGAAACAATAAGCCCATGTTGGCTTCAGGCCCCACGAGGAGTGGCAGGCTGTTACTCTTTGACTCGTGGTGACACTTTGGCATTAATCATTGTCCTCCAGCCTTTGGGTGGTAAAGACTGTTGATCACTGACTTGGATTTTTTAGAAATCCAAAGGTTTTCCTCCTGTAGTGACTGTCCAGGAATTCCCATGAAGTCCCCTCCTGGAGAAAGTTTCTTCTTTCACAGGATTGATCAGCAGCAGGCCACCGGACAAGGATTTAGGGCTACTGAACTCTGGGTGAAGACTGCTAAACTCAGAGAGAGCTTGAAGGGGTGGGTTTCTGGGGAGCTGGACCAAGCTACCAGGGAGTACATCTCAGGTTTCCCACTTATAAGCAGAGTGACCTTAGACAAGCTAACTAAACTCTCTGAGCCTTAGCTTTCTCATCAATGAAATGGGTATGACGGTGTCTATCACACATGACTGTAGATGATCTTAAATGAAACAAGGTCTGTAAAACACTGGCCAGCACAACAGGGATGCATTTGTTACTGTCCTTCTAGAAGTGAGGGGTCATACAGGGCTCTGCACTGTGGTGACACTCAGGCAAAGCTCACTGGCACGTTTCACTTCACAAGTATTCAGTGACTATCAGGGATCACGTCCTGCTTGGGTCATTTCTTTTTTCCATTATAGGTGATTCTAAGGGAGGGGGCATGGTGGGAGAGCATTCAGCTTGGTGGCCACAGCAACCTTGATTTTCATAGCCAGGTGAATGAAGACTATTCCTTTGTTTGGTACACTGCAAGATTATTTTCTAAAGGGTGTGAATTTTTTATTATTATTATTATTTTTAATGGAAGTCCTGGGGATTGAACCCAGGATGTCCTGCGTGCTAAGCAAGCACTCTCCTACTGAGCTGCGCTCTCCCCTCTCCTGCAAGATTCCTGAATGTCTGGTAAGTTGAGTACAAAAAAAGAGGCAAATCTGAGTCAAGGATCCTGAAGTCATCCAGGACTATCTTGGGTTCTGGGTACTCATTATGGGTTCAGAGATCCCAGTTCTGCTTTGCCCCAATCCTCAGCAACCTTTCCACAAAGAGAGAGGGAGAGACACTAAACAGCACTGACCCTTCTCCATTTTACTTTGCAGGAAAGATGTTGGTCTAGAGACTGGGACCCCAGGTACCCGAGATGCCCTTGTCCATAACTCTGGCTCTTAGGACCCAGCAGGTGATTTCTGCATCCCATGTTTTGTCTCTCTGGAATCATCCTCCAGGGGAACACACACTCCCCCACCAGTGTGAAGAGAGGTCTGGGCATCAGCCTGGGAGCGGAGCAATTACTGAGCACCTACTCTGGGAGCATCAACGATGTGTTGGGTGCTGTCCAAGGTACTGTGCGTACGCCATTTCCACCATTCTGGGTTGCCCTTATCCCTAAAGAAAAGAGCTTGAGACCTTGAACTTTGAAGTCAGATGGTCTTGGAGGCTCGGCTCTGCCACTTATTGTAGGGCTTTGACAGGTGATTTAGCCCTCCTGGGGCCTCAGTGGCAGAGATGGGCATAATTAGAACCCCTACATTTCAAAGATGTGTGAGGATTAAATGAGATGAGTGAAGCATATGGCCCAGGGCTTAATTGCTCTGCACATTTTGAGGATGATGATGGTGATGATGATGATGATGATGATGATGATGATGATGGTGATGGTGATGATGATGGTGATGGTGATGATGGTGATGGTGATGGTGATGATAGTGATGATGACGAAGTAGTGTGGTCTCTAAAAGGCTCCCCTGGATGCTACTCTTGTCCTCATTGCTACTTGGAATTTCCAGCTGGAAGCAGAAGGGCACCGACATTGTCAGTCTGGAGAACCTGGCTCTATTTCTCACTGGCCTGATCATTTGGGGCCAATTATTTCCTTCAGACAATGACTCTGGGGTCTGAGAGTTGGGTGCTGGGGTTCTGAGCCAGTGGCACAAACTCGGAACTATTCCAAAGGACAGAAAGGCCCCACTCCTTCTCCAGGCACCCAGGCCTTGCCCCAAGGCAGCCGGGGAGGCCAACTCCTCCTCCTCTGCTTGTGGAGGAGGTGGCGGGGAAGAGGGGAGGTTATGAGAGGAGGGACCGGGCCATCTTTTCCCCTCCCACTCAGTAGGGCCCAGACTTGCGGTAGTTTCCCGCTCCTCCCATTGACTAGGTCTCCAGGTGTCTTCCTTTAATTAAAGATATTTAGCCTTCCGCTACACTGGCCTTCATTTGCATGGGACCCTTCCTTTTATGCAGCCTCAGCATCAGAATGAGCCAGGAGTTAAAGGAGCATCGCTGCGCGGTGCCTCAGGAAGGCGGGGCTGAGCCGACTGCGCCCTGGTTCCCTGCGCGCGCCCCAGGGACTCCTCACGGTGGCGGGCGGGGAGCTGCCGGCTTTCCAGCCCCTGGGCTGCCCGCCTGGCTCCTAGGCAGCTTCCCGAGCCCGCGCCTCCATCTTTAAAGCGCATTTACATACAGAGGGGGTCTTTCTGGGTCCCTGAAGCCAGGGCGGGGGTCCTCTGTGTCTTGGCAGCCTCAGGGATGGTCCGCCACGGCGCTGAATCCGCCAGGGAGGCAGGTCACCCACGTTTGCGGGGCACTGGACTGAGTCCCCGTGGTATTTCAGGACAAGTCACAACTATCCAGAAGGAACTGAGTGCTGATCAGGAGGTTGTATTGGAGATTGTACAAAGAACCAGGATGTCCGGTAAAAGATGGTTAAAAACCGCAGGAAGTCTTCACCTGAGAGCATCTCAGCTCAGAGGAAAGCAGCACCTGACCTGCCAGCCAACACCAGACACTTACTGGTCAGGATTAAAAAGAAGATTTCTGATGCTTAGAAGCATCAGGCGAACTCACCAAGGGCACGGAGTGGGCTGAAACCCAGGTGGGCTGGTTCCCAGCTTTCCCCACTCAGGAGGAGAGGGAGTTCCACTCTGGGGGGACCAGACTCCTTCTGTCCCAGGCGCTCATGCTCTAGTGAGAAGATAAGCCACTGACCTGGAGACTCTAGATCAAGGTCTTTGCTTCTGACCCCACAGTGGCCTCTACCTCATGGGTCTGGCTTCCTCAAGACCTTCCACCAGCCTGCTCAGAGCCCCACTTACTTGAGTCTCCTCCATGGTCATTCCTATACGCTCCTCCCCACTCCAGCTGCCCCAGTGTCTCAAGGCCAGGGGGACAAACAGAGTGAACCCTCTTCTGTGTGGCAGGTCCAGTCCCTACAGATAAGGGAGAGGAGACCAGACAGGGCTTCTTTATCTCTGATAGGTTGTTACGCCTTTTCCCAGATTGATTCTGAAGATTCACCTCCCAACTGCTAAGAACTAGCTCTTCCTTTTCTGCAACTCCTTTCTCATTTCCTTAGACTAGGAGACAGGCACCATGAGGTGGGGGACGGGGGGCTACTGTGATTTCTTCCACGCAGTGTCTAGCACAGAGTAGACAGCAAATAATGAATGAATGAATGGGTTCAGAATTAGACTCAGCCTTTCATGTTAAAGACAGAAGAGGAAAGAGACGTGGACCAAAATGTGGAAGGGCTCAGAACCTCTTATTCCCTGGCTGCTGTCCCAATGATGCGTTAGTCTTCTTGAATGTAAATCCCGGGGGCTGTCATGACATTAGCCCCTCCTGCAATGCTCCAGAGGGAAGCAGAAAACATTCTCACTCATTTTATCACATGCAGCCTCTGGAACTGGGAGCCCCAGTGATTCCTTTGCCTTCTGGAGCCAGCCCAGTCAGTTAACACTAGTCTAGGCCCAGGAGATGCTGGGACAAGCTGAGGATTTCCTTTAGAGTTATGCTTTCAGGGCAAGATTTTTAGTAGCTCATTCCTCTTCCCTACCAGATGGTGAAGCACGTGGAAGATAAAAGTCTTTTACTAGCATTTTCTCAGCCATGCATCCTGCAGTGGGGTGAGCCCCACGTGCCTTTCTCCCTCTCCCTCACCATGTGTGCTCTGCTGAACTGGGGGAGGTGGGAGACTGCTGTGAAGGATGGAAGCAACAACACCCACAGAGCACTTTCCAGTAACTCTGTTATCTCATAGCACTCTCATGAAGGACTGGTGAGGTGTTGATCTATTTCACAGATGAGCAAAGTGAGGCTCTGATGGGCTAACATACCCAAGGTCCCCGAACTACTGAGTGTCGGGGTCAGGATTTGGACCCAGGCTCTCTGATTCCAGAGACTGGGGCTGGAGGTGGGGGAGACCATCTGGAAAGCAAATGGAGCCTGGTCATGGCTCTTGAGTCTTCAGACTTTGCCCTCTTGGATAAAGAATACTTGAAAGAACATCTTGCTTGAAATGACGCCCAATAAGTCTCTCCTCTAATTAAGACACTGTGACTCTACAAGTGAATTAAAACACACACGTTTTTCTTGGAAAGAGTGTAAGTGTCAACCCAAAGGCCCATCAGACTTATTAGCAAACACCAGGCTGTTCGATCAGCTTGCTGTCACCCCGAAAGCAGAAAGCACCCCTCAGGGGCTGGGTCTTTAGGGCAGGTGCCATTTGAAGGAGGTGCAGGGCTGACAGAAAGGTTACAATATTCAGTGGTGTTAGCAGTAACAGCACATCCAAGATCAAGGTGGCGATATTCCCTCTGCGTTCCTTCCGAGTCACACCACACCTGGGTTATGAGTTCAGTTCTAAGCACGACCTTCAAAATAGGAGGCTGAAAAACAGAAACAGAGGGGACCAGAGGCGCATAGAGGGACCCTCAACCATTCCCACCAAGGATGAATTAAAAGAATAGAGGATATTTTACCCAAGAAGAGAAGACTGAGGGTGAAATGGAAGTTGTGGCAAGTAACTGAGCCCCGCTCCCCCGTTGTTAACAACTATGTGAGGGCGACATCTTGCATGTGGATCCTTCAGCCCAAGTCCAGCCTTCAGATGACCGCCACTCTGGATGACAGCTTGACCGTAACCTTTGAGAAACCCTGAGCCTGAACCACCCAGCTATGCCCAGGAGTGGGGCTGTTGAATCATAGTGTTAAGTCTCTTTTTAGTTTTTTAAGGAATCTCTATACTGTTTTCCATAGTGACTGCACCAAATTATATCCCCACCAAACAGTGCAGGAGGGCTCCCTTTTCTCCACACCCTCTCCAGCATTTATTGTTCACGGGCTTTTCAATGATGGCCATTCTGACCAGTGTGAGGTGATGTCTCATCACAGTTTTGATTTGCATTTCTGTGATAATTAGCAATATTGAGCATCTTTTCTCGTGCCGGTTGGCCACTGGATGTCTTCTTTGGAGAAACTGAACCATGCAGCCATGGAGCTCCTGGATTCCTGACCCTCAGCCACTGTGTGAGATAATAAACGTTTTTTGCTCTAAGCTGCTAAATTTGCAGCGATCTGTTACACAGCTCTGGATAACTAACACTGTACTCATTCTTCTGTCTGCTCGGAGAAATTCTGCTCTTGGCCGTAAGAGTGTTTTGTCAGCAGACTGCTCAGAGAATATTTTCACTGCTAGAGCGAAAAATAGAATTTCTTCTTCTTTCTTTTTTGGTCCTAAATTGACTGCTTTGAGCTTTAAACCTGCCTCTAGCACTGACGTGCAGATTGGTGAATTAACACATCAGTTCCTTCTCAATATTTTAAATGTAACTGTGACCAAACTTCCCGAGGAGGGTCCTCCCAGAAGCTAGTCTGGAGCCATCACAGATGTTTCTCTGAGTCTAGTAGTTGCTGTATTCTGCTTTGGCTGGACCTTCTGGTTGAGAGAAAGGTCATCCTGGGGGAAGTCACACGGGATCTCCCAGAGAGAAGTCAGGAAAAAAACGGCAGCAGTGCGGCTAAAGGGCAGCGGTTGAGGATGGTGAAATTCACCTTTCAGAGTCAAAGAAAAAGAGAGAGAAAGCCCATCAGGCACAGAGTCTTCGTCCCTGCATTTCCTCTCTGTGTGCGCAGGTGTGTTTTTTCCTTTTACCATCTTGAGAATCTTCAAAGAACTAGAGGCCAGGATCAGCACAGGTCTTATTCGTGGCTTTCCCCTTAATTCTGATTTCCTGTTACAGGATAGGAAGCTACAGTGTGGATTCGGGGAGGGGAAGGGGCAACAAACATGCTGAGTCCCTGGGGACTAAGGCAAAGGAAGAAACGAGCCCAGGAGAAGCTGGTCTGGGTCGGTGAAGGAGATCTGAGCCCTTAACGTGTCCTCATCGGTTCCCGGACTGTTCCTTGCTGTTTCTTACTCTGCCTGTAATTCAGGTGGGTGCCACCAGGTGGAGAAGTGTCTGGACTGCAACCCCTTGACTCATGATTTCCCATGGGTGTGGGTGGCTGAGCAGATAGGTTTAACCATCACGCTTCAAACTGTTCACAAAAATCACAAAATGCTCATTACTGTGAAAGGACTCCCCCACTAACGAGAGTTGTAAATTTATGAAGTTACTTCTCACTAATCCTCTCCAGGTCTTTGTTGCCTCATCTTTAAAGTGGGCAAGCAAAGTGCTTTCTAACGTCCAGCTCTGAAAGTCTAGGGTTCAGTTCCAGACCACCAAAATAAGGTGACTATCACAATAAAGTGGGTTTTTTTGGTTTCCTAGTGCATGTAACAGTTCTGTTCACACTCTATCGTAGTCTATTAAGTGTGCAATCGCATTATGTCTAAAAAAGCAATGCACACATCTTAATTTAAAAATACTTTGTTGCTAACCATCATTGGAAGCTTCAGTGTGTCTTTTTATTTTTGCAATAGTAACATCAAAGATAACTGATCATGGATCACCATAACAAATATAATAATAATGAGAAAGTTTGAAATACTGTGGCAATTACCAAAATGTGACACGGAGACATGAAGAGAGCGAGTGTCATTGGAAAAATGGTGCCGATAGACTTGCTTGACACAGGGTTGCCACAATAATTTGCAAAAAACACAGTATCTGTGATGTGCAAATAAAGTACACCTGTACTGGCCACAAACTGTGTGTGCTTTTTTGAATTCCTCCTTTCTGTCTCATTTGATGTCCATTCCCTTCTGCGTCATCCTTCCCCTTCCAGACCTGACCACGCCTTGAGATTCAGTGTCTGGGTGGCCAAAGACTGAATGAAGCAATCCAGAAGTCCAGAAGCATTTGCTCACTGTTGGATACATCTTGATTGGCGGGAAATGAAAGACTAGAGGGAAATGGTCAGACAAATTCCACTCCTTCTCCACTCAGTAGATACTTGAAGACAGGATCTCTCTTTGCAGCTCTTCCGGAGGAGCCCAGCACGCCAAGCCTCATGAGTGACCTGCAGTGTGTCTCCACAGCTGGTTGCGAAGTCGCCTCTAGCACAGTGCTTCACGTCGTCCCTTGCCTTCCTTTCACCTCGTCCTACCCCTCGCTGGCCTGGCTGTACCTTTCTCCCGTGTAAAGCGTCAGCCCTTTCATCCTTGCCCCAGGCTCGGGTTTCCATTGGGTTGAGGCTAATGCAGTCGAAATGCAGCAGGTGTGGGTATGGCTTCACATGCCATTCTCCTCTCTCTTATAAGGACACCAATCATACTGGGTTGAAGGCCCGTGGTGAGGACCTCATCTTACATCTGCAAAGACCTTATTTCCAAATAAGGACACATTCACAGGTAACAGCAGTCAGGACATCACCATCTCTTTTTGGTGGAGTGGAGAGAGGACACAAACGTTCTTACCGCCAGCTCATGCCTTGGCTTCTGGTCGTTAGATTTCTTCCCACCCGCTGAAGGTCACCAATGCTGCATTCAGTGGCTTTTCTCAGGCCCTATCCTTGGGACTGCCCTGCAGTATTCGTCACAGTTACCCTGCCTCTCCTCCCTGAATCCCTCCGCTAAGCTGACATCCAGGTACTGTGCACACCTGTGGTTCCTTCCATCTTCCATGCTGCGTGCATGCCTCCTCCTTCTCTCCCCACCTCTGGTTCAAGGTGCATTTCCATGCTGGCCTTGGTCATATCCTCTTCTTTCAACTCACTCTCTCCTCTGGCCGACTCCCAACCTTCATGCTTCAGTGACCTCTTCTAAGCAGGTAACAAATACATCTCTCCAACCCGGCTGTCTCCCGAGCTCCGGGCAAGCATCGCTGCTTGGAAATCACTGAAGAGCCCCGAAGGTAATATATCCCAGCACAGCATCTCCTCTTTCCACACGCGATCACACATCACACACGCCCCCTGATCAAAGGGACCTCTTCTTGGCTTCGTTTCTCGTCTTGGCTTTCCTACAGCTGGTGAGGACACCACCACCCTCCCTCTTGGTCTTCACTGTCCGTGCATTCATTTCAGTCTCTGTGAAATTGTTCTGAAGCTTCCAGAAATACTGTGGCACTTTGAATGTGGACAGGCTCCCACAAAATTGGGTGGGTCCCATCCAGGGGGGATGTGCCTTATTTCGATGATTACAATCCCCAAATTTAGGCTCCGGCGACTGAAGCCTGAGAAAGTCTTCCCTACGCCTGACCCACAGGCTGAGCCTCTCAAAGCAACAATAAGGAAAGCCTGTGTAGCAGACAACTTAGGGATGCAGATAATTCTCGGCCTGGATTCAGATGCAACGGGGCCCGGGGGCTCCCTCCCACTCATATGCTGTTTGCTTTGGGGTATACGATTTTCACACTTTCTGCATTTTATTTTTCAGAGTCTGTGGTAGAGAGCCTCACACGTAGCTGGCTTCCTACAAGCGTGGTTGAATGATGAAATTTTCCCGAGCGCTTATCTCAGCCTTAAAACCCAATACCCTTGCACTCAAGGATCTGTACGTGAGCAGCTCACGCTGCTTCTCTGAAACTCAGCTCCCCAGACCAGAACCTTCATTCCCTGTGCAGCCAGAGAGCATAATAAAGACAATGCTTAAGATTCAGGAGTGGACCAAAAAGATGACCCTTCGCCCTATTGACAAGAAGGCGGACGTTCTGAGACACGCAGGGGCCTCCCCTCGGCCCCCTGTGTGGTCCTCTTACATGCTACCTGCTTTGATGTGCTTTCTCTTTAGAAAGGGTAACACTGGGCTCTGAGGGTCATTCCCAGGATGGGTTGAGGGGGCCCTAATACGAGCTTACCTGCCTGCAGTGTGTTGTGGGCGGGGGCAGCCCTGGTGCATGTTTTCATCCAGTGACACCCACTCCCAGCACCACGGAAATGCTGCATCTGGGGATAACTTCCGGGATGTTGTCCTGGGGCGGATGCTTGGGGTCGGGAGGGCTCAGCAGAGGGAGGAGGGAAGAGAAGGAGGGGTTGCCATGTATTGGGAATATAAACCTCTTGGTATCTCCTGGTTCACAAGTAGCTCAAGTGTATGTTCTGTTCTCAGGGACTCTTTTGGGACCTTATGGCTTCTTCCAATAAAGGAAGCCTCCCTGGGGGGCTGAAATTGGTGTCAGGCACACATTCAGCACCTCTTCACTGGGGGCCTGTTGCTGTGGCTGGCCTTGACAGAGCAGTTTATACACAACCAGATGGACCAGGAGTCCAGGTTTTGTTTTATCTGGTATGTAATATAATTTATTTTATGAGAGGGAGAGACGGGTGCCTAGACACGGCCCAAGTTCCAGGCTCTGCCCAGGGAGCTGACAGCTCCAGGGGATGCTGCCTGGTCTGGGAAGGCCTTTGGAATCTCAGCTGTTCATTCACGGAGCCAGCGGACAGGCTCAAGTGAGGGTGGGGTCCAGGCAAGAGGGAGGCAGGTTGCAGGCATCGCAGAGGAGCGAGGATCCCCATCTCCCGACATTCAGGACTCGCTTGTTACATGAAGTCTTCATGGTCTCAGTGACCTTGTTCTTTGACATTTGCTACTCACAGCATGTGGCCTCACTGGGCTCCTGTCACAGGCTGGGGCATCAGAGGGACTTTCGGGAGAATGGGAGGAAGGGGAGGGGCAGCCAGATGGAGTCACCTACACAAAGTCCCACACATGGCCGCAGCGGAGCCAGGATAACACACAGCCAGGCTCCCCATGTCCCGTCCACGTCCTCCCCTGGGCGGCCTTGTCGCCCCTGCACCTGCTGCCCGGCTCCTTCCCATCTAGGCCGGCAG